TCTTTCCTATGTTGGGCGTTTATTTTTTCCATTTCTTTCTTATGCTGGGCCTTCATGGCTTCTATCGTGGTCCTGAGCTCATCTATTTTTTTGTCCGTTTCTGCTCTAGAGTTTCGAATCACGACTTCCATTTTGCTCACCATGTCTGTGGTTATCTGGGAAATTATTTCTGTTTTGAATTTTTCTAGAGCCTAATTGATCTGTTTTGTTACTTCCTGTGTTTTGAGTTCAGGATGTCCTCGTGGTTCACTATCGGCCTTTTCATCCTCATTTGCCCTAGAGTTTTCCGTTGGTGAACTGGAAGTCTATCTTTGTGTCTTGCTTAAGTGTTTTCTCATTTTTATTTTTGTTGTCAGGCTGTCCTTGGTTTAATCTCTGGGTTATCACCCAAATCTTCCTGATATAGTTGCACCCTAGCTTCTGAGTCTCTAACAACCCACAGACATTCTCATCTCCATAACATCAGGGAAAACAGCTTATCGAATCAACCACAATCCTTTATCCCAACCAGCAACACAATATGATCAAGCACAACTTGGAAACTGACCACCTGTGGTAGTCACTAGTCTATCATTTTTAAACCATTTGAATTAAATTGAAATCAATAAGCAGTCCAAGACATGTCTGCAGTGAACAAACTTTTCAATATAGTATATTTACCATTTAGGATGGGGGCTCAGACAGTGCTAGGACTCAAGACCACTGATCTCAGTTAGCTGATGGCTGAACCCCATGACACAGACTGACCTTGGGCTGCATGGCCGAGATTGAGTTCCCCAACCTTCTGAATGGTTGAACTCCACACCGTTCAACTACAAGTTTCCCACCCCCTTTCTTTAAAGATATTCAACATTGGGAACTTAGAAAAATACCCTCCTTGAGCACCTCTGCCTCTGCAGAGTGGGTCCAAAGACTGGCTCAATCAGGAGGTCTGAGAGTGCACGGCAGGGTGGGAGATATTCAGGGGTGCCCGTGCAGCTACCTTCCTGGTGCTATCCTTCCCGCGGTGGATCAGGGCCCAGGCAGCCCTCCTGGTTCCAGATCAATCTATATGCTCCTTTTCTATTGCATTGATTTTAATTTTTTTAATCTCCTACTTCCTTTAGTTCATTGTGCTCTTATTTTCTAGTTTATTAATATGGATCTTTAATAACAGATTTTCAACCTTTTTATTCTGTAATATCTTTTAGGTGTACAAATTTCCCTCTAAATAACACTTTTTATGTAGTATGCAAGTTGATATGTTATATATTCATATAACTTAGTTAAAATCTTTTGTCATTCCTATTGTGATTTCTTCTTTGACCTATGGATTATTTAGGTATATATATTGATTAATTCAAAGTATTTGGAGGCATTTTTCTGGATACTGTTTTGTTTTTGATTTCTGGCTTATTTCTTTCTACTCTGGTTATACTAAGTATGATCTAGAACTATGATAAAAGTTTAAATTAAAAATTGTTAGAATAACATACATTTCCATTAATCTCCCTCAAAATAATTCCTCTTTGCTTTGAGCATTCTATCTCATTGTTCTTGTCACTTTCTGAAGCAGTTCTGGAAGTCCCCCTTTGTGAGTGTTGTTAGTTGTGCTGTCGTAGCTGCCTTGATGTCCTAAATCAATTCAAAATATTTACCTTTCATGGTCATTTTGACTTGGGAGATATGGTGCCAGATCCATTGAATAAGGTAGATGAGGACACACCTTATGTTTCTGTGAGCCTGCATTTCCATTAGTTAACAGTAGGCAGTGGTATTCACCTTATTTTTCATCATGACTCATAACAATGAGAAGAAAGAGTACTCTATATTTGCTTCAGAAAGTGGTGAGAATGAGGGGGTAAGTGTGTTTCTAGTGAGGGGAGTACTTTGATCAATGGTAATATGTCTTACTGTTATCTATTAAACATTTTTAA